CCTCTCTCACTGTGTCTCTGTCAAATAAATAAATAAATAAATAAATGCCTTTTTTTTTTTTTTTAATGAGAAAGGAGGAAAAAGGGGGAAAAAAGGAAGGAAGAAAGAATGAATGATCAACTACTCGTAGTACTTCTGAGATAGACCATAGTCTCTCATACTTGCATGTCGTGCCCTTGCAGTTGATCCTCCTGCCTGGAGAACTCTCACCATCCTTGTAGCTGATCTTCAAGGCCTAGCGTAAGGACCTCCTACTCCAGGCTGGACTAGGTGCTTCTCTGAGCTCCTATTACGTTCCTGTAATTACTACCTACCACATTATATTGAAAATTATCTGTATCTCTTAGACTAAATTAAAAGTTCTCTGAAGGCAGAAATCATGTCTTGTTTGTTCTTAAACCCCAGTGTTTATCTTGTGTAGTATCTGGCACCCAGTAGAAGCTCAGTAAATGTTTTTTGAATGATTCATGCCTATAATCTCTCCACCATTGCCTGCTGTTGGTACATAGAGAACACAAGGAAGGAAGTAATACTTTCTGTGGGGAGTCAGTGCATGGTATGGGAGTATAGGGAGAGTTAGGGAATGCTTCATAGAGGAGGTTAGATTTGAACCAGGCCTTGAAAGATGACTAGAATTTCATTTTGCAGACAGTGGGGCAAGAATAGGCTCATATGTGCTTCACATTCATGACCTTGGCCTCATGTACTACAGCCAAAAGTGCTTGGTCTAGTAGACAAAATCTGATTATGGAATGGATAAAGCACAAAACTAAAAATTCTACAGTCTTGGATTGCCCCATAATAGCATATCCAGAATTTTTATTTTCCCTCAGTGCAGAGAGATTGGCATTTCACATATTAGGTTGCCATATCTTAGGAAATACAGGCACAGCCAGCCAGCCTGCACTTTTGAATCAGTATCCCGACCACCCGGTAGAATGGAACCCTCACTTGGGTAATTAAGAAATCATGCAATGATACTGGGTTTTCTGAGTGTAGTGGGGCCATGCCACTGGGGGCCTCCAAGACTCTCACTTAGACTTCAAGCAAGAGCAGCGTCACATTTGTAAAATACAGCCTTACCTGTTCACTTCTGCATAAGATTTCATTTGAACAGTTCTGCTAAGGGGTAAAAAAAAATTGAAGACTGCTTTTGGAATCTCTTGCAAAATGTGGTTGATAACTATTATGAATATCCTGATGTGATAGTGGGTCTGTCTTGGTAATCTGAATGAACGAAATTTAACTCTGAACAAGGTACTTTGGTTTTCTCCTATATAAGTATCACACTTCTGTTTTCAGAGATTGGAGTAATATTTAGTACTTGAAGAATAGGAACTATCATATTACTGACTGGAATTATATCTTAAATTTCCTGTAAGTGTAAAACAGCATATTTATTTATTTATTT